TACTCGCCAAGCTACTCCTTTTGTCCCAAGAAGAAGACCTTAAGCAGTTCCTGAGTTGATTTGTAGATGAAGGAAATAAACAACTCTCTCTCACCCTAGACTCTCTCTATTCGGTTCTCAAGGCTCCAAATGCATTTTTCTCTCCATTCTTATCTTCCTAACCGGTACCTAGCTAGGAAGGATTTAGAGGATACACATTGTCCTCAGCCCAAAGAGAAGACATGGCTTACACACGTGTATGGCTTAGGCTGAGTCCAATGGGTATCCCATTTATGGGGGAATCTGCAAAAATGAAGGAGGAGATGGTCCAATGGGGAGGTTTGGGCCTCCAAATATGGAGGATCTTGCATATGGAACCCCAAATTTGGAGGTGGAAATGGGGGCCCCCAAATATAGAGGCTCACCAAAGCCCGCCACGTGGCTTTTCTTTTTCTTTTTAAGATTTTAGGGGTTAATTGAGAGTTTAATTAGGGGATTAGTTAGGGATTTAATTATATCAATCATTTTCAAGTGTTGTGTGTAAACCCAAATTAGGTACATAATTTTTTATCAAAAAAATTCGGACTCGAAATTTAACAAAATTCTATCGAAAAAATTTGTATTAAAAAATGATTACGGACTATACAAAAATTAACATGAATAAATTATATTAAGGCTACGATAAGTATATTTTTAAGTAAATGGAAAAACTGGAAATATTAAGAACCCCAAATATGGAGTTTGTTGCATTGGAGCAAAAAAAGGGAAAATGGGGTTCAAGGCCCCCAAATTTGGGGTTTCGCATTGGACTTGCTTGGCCTTATAGAAAGTTGAGCTAAAGTTGTATTTGACTCATTATTACCCCTTACTTTCCTCGATATCCTAAGTGACGAAAATTACCTATCAAATTCAAGGGCTGGGGGAAGGGCTTGGTTAATATTGATGGGAGTTGAAAGGAATAAAACAAAATCACTTAATGCTTCCTCTCTCCTTTATGCGGTTGAGGGGAAAATACACTAGTTATTTGGTCAGAACAAAGGGACATCTAGTGGCTTACTCTGTATGCGGAGATAAAAACCAAGTTGAGGCTAATCAAATTTCATAATGTAATACCATTACCTTCATCGAGGAAGGTTCCATTTTTTAAACCTTTTTAATATTCGTGTTTCATTTAGATTGCCGGTTAATGGAAGCATAGCTCTTAAACTAGTCCTCACACATATTGACCAATTCCAACGAGAAAGTGTGTGACAGTCATTAAATTACATTTTTATTATTTATTTTCTCGAGTTACCTTCATTATCATTGATAGGTTACAATTTGATCCACATATTTTTTTTATATGTGAAGAAATTCTCTTGGTGGGGCAGGTATGAGTATGGGTATGGGGCGGGGGAGGCTAAAACCATACCCGCTCCATACCCATCAAACCTTTGGCGGGTTTACCCATACCCCTCAATAGGCAATCAAAGCGGGAATTCCCTGCGTTGACTGGATCGGGGACGGTTGGATACCTGCGGCTATAGATTTGATTGACATCCCCAATGGTAACAACTCTAGGCCATAAATTTTGAGGAAGTCATTCTCCAAGCGTACATTATGGTTATCATTAACCATACACGAATATAGCCTAATCAGGTGGGTATAATTCAAAACCAAATATTTTTAATGGGTATGGATAATATCCACACTCAAATATTATGAGCAATGAGTGGGAATGATTTTTTCACTATCTCACCAATAGAAGGGAAAATAGAAACAAACAAGATAAAATCAAAATTAATCAAATTGAACAAAATTTTCTCACGCCGAATATTGCACTGCTGGTGAACAACTTTACTAATTTGCAGCTCTATGCATAATCTTTCACCCATAGCAGCATTTCAAGCATCGTTGTCTTTCTCCTAGCTGGGCCACCATAGGCTGTGACGGAATGATATGCTAACCAATCCCATCTCCGTCCCTTTATACTTTCACAAATCTAAGGTTAGTTTGGTTGGAAGGGTATTTTGTGCATGTCCAGAGTTGATCCCAACTTTACCATGCGGTATTTGAGGGATATCCAACCGCCCTTCCCTTCCGTCATTTCTTTTTCAGCTTCCCTTTTCCTCTCTAATCTCCTCTCTCTCTCTCTCTTCACCCGCAGTGTGATCGATCAGAACATTAAAAGGCCTCGCACTCTATGCCGTCCTCTCCCTCGCCGTCGTCCTCGCCTCCCTTGCTGGCTGTCCCCGTCATCAGCCTCGCTTGCGCTACCGTCGTCTGCTTCAGCCTCCCCTGCACCGCCCTCGCCTTCGTCGTTGGCTGCATCAGCATCCCCTCTGCCGCCTTCGACTATTGTTTGGATGTCTTTGGGGGGAGACGTCCGAGTGGGTTGTATGTTAAAAAGGCATTCGGGTGGGTTTAGAGTTTTAGATCTGGGCTCTTTCTTGCTTACTCTTTAATTAGATCTAGATTAGTTGTGATTTTTTTTTTATGAATAAGTTGTATATTCATCAAGAAAGAATGGTAAAACCACCATTCTAACTGGCACCAATTCTGCAAACTATCCGAGTACAGAATCTTTACAACCACTCTAACTACAGAACAACAGCTGCTAACTAACAAAGTACCTGACTAAAACAAGAAACAAAAAACAGACTTTACACTATACTGATTATCTCAGCCTCACTAATAGCTAAGCTAGTTTTAGGGAAACCACTTCTCAGCAAGAGCAGCATCTGCTGCAACTTCTTCAGCAGCTGTTCCTCTGGTAATCTCTCGCTACCATATAACCGTCGACATCGCTCTCTCCATAGTTCACTTACCACTGTCAACCAAAGCAACTTACCCCTGTCAGAGCGTGGAGAAGTTACTTTAAACTGATCTAGAACAATCGCCAAATTCTCATCCCAACACCTTCCTAGCTGGATCCGCGAATGAAAAACAGCCAGCAAAATCTTTTGAGAATAAGGGCACTCAAAAAATATGACTCCTTGACTCTGGTGCAGCAACACAAAGAGGACAAGTGTTAATAACAGATGGACACCAAACCTGCACCTTGTCCAGTGTGCTTATCCTGTTGAGGATGATAAGCCATCCAAGTACTTTGTCTCGAGGTGTACATAGAGACTTCCAGACTAAATCATACCAATGGACCTTATCATATCTTGGCCGAAGAGATTCCCAGACCTTCTTTACTGAATACTTACTCATAAGCTGACCATCCCAATAGGCCTCTGAGTGCCTAGTGGAGAGATGATGCTATGCATAACTCCTTGTCTTTAAGACCTTTCTCCATGCCCAAGAACAACTTATTGACGATGGAATGTCCCAGATAGATGTGTAGTGTAGTAGTGTTGTTTCTTCGGATGTAGTATTGTTCTCCTTGTTAGTAATTTTTTTGGAGTTTGAATTGGTAGCGATTATCAAGATTATTAGTGTTTTTTGTTTTTGTTTTGCATATATGATTTTCTTGTTTAGTGAAGATCTGTTATTCAGAATTTTCGTGTGGGTGTACGATTTTGGCTCCAATCTCTTTTTTGTTTGTTTGATCAGAGTTGTATGGAGTTCCGTCTTTTCTAGAAAGCGCGTTAGTGTACTTCAGATCTTAGTGGTGATTCTGAAGGTTAGTACTGATTCATGATTGTATGCGGAGGTATAGTAGTATTTTTAATTTCAGTAGTGATTTTCAATTCGGTTAGTAGTGTTTTTAATTTTAGCAGTGAAAGTTCGTTAGTCCTGTTAGTAGTGATTTTACTTCTATGTACTAATAGTTCTATTACTAGTTATCACGGTCTAGTATTGATTTTCAATTTTGGAAAAACAATATTTGTAGTCATTTTGTACCAAACCTTTGTAGTATAAGTTTCCCAGTAGTAGTCTTTTTGCTGGATTTGCAGACCTCGTCGGCGTTACACTTCATTCAACGCACTCAAAATCCCAAATAATTGAAAATAAACTCTGCCTCATTCAGAAATAGAAATCGTCTGGTATTGCAATCCCTACAAATCCGCCCACTTCCACGAAAAACTGCATTAATTTTGCATTTAATTATTATTCATGTGTTATTCATAATCTACCCTTTTATATTTGTACCCATTAGATTTGAAACAGAGGTGTAGGGATGGCAACAAAACCCGAACCCACGGGTACCCACCCGACCCAACCCGGTCAACGCGGGTAAAATCCGTGTTGACGGGTTTTGGGCCGGGTTTGGGTTTAAACCCGCTCACTATTCACCGGGTTGGGTTGGGTTTGGGTTTAGGTAAACCCGACCCGTGGGTACCCGCCCACCCATATAATTAATTTTTTTGGTACATTTAATATTCTAAACAACTAATCTTATTTATGTTTGTGGAGACATGTTTAATTTTTTCTTTTTAATTGTGTAGAATGAAGTTGATGTTATGGAGTGGAGAGTAAAGAAACTTAATTGAAAGGAAGAAGTTTTCAATTAAACATGTTATTTATGGATAATTTGTGATTTGCTTCAATTTTCTTGAGTTTTCTAGATTGGTGTTGAATAATTTGTATACTTAATTTGTGATTTACTTGAATTTTCTAGAATGGTGTTTTATATATATGTATAATTTGTATTGAGAGATTTATATTTGACTTTAATTTTGATAAGAACTTGTAATTGTAAATTTTTTACGACAAAACCCGTGGGTACCCATGAACCCGCGGATACCCAACGGGTTGGGTTGGGTTTGAGTTTTTCAAACCCAGTGGGTTTTACCCCGGGTTTTTTTCAAAGATAAACCCATGGGTTTGGGTTTGGGTTTGACAAAACCCGACCCAAACCGACCCATTGCCATCCCTACAGAGGTGGACGGTTAAGATGCTAATTAGAATGGTGCTAACCTTCTATGGAGTTAGCACCCTAATTTCTCCCGGTCTTCGCCAACCTAGCACAGGAAGAGCTCCATCCGGCCCATATTTCGAAATACGGCCCCAAGCCCATTTTTGGTTTTACGGCCCTTGTCCATGCCTTCTTTGTTCCAAGAAGCTAGTAGTAAGCTGATTGATCCATTCCATCGAACCTTATCGTCGTGCGTGCCTGCCTGGATCTACTGATCTCTCGTTCCCTGGCCTCCGCATCGAAATCGGATACGATTATGCATTGAGAGACAACCCAATCCCTGAAAACAGGGCAAAACCCTAATTCGCTTCCAGTTCTTCCAAGGGCGGGAACCCACCAATCAGTATGGCGCTTTCTGGATCTGCTGTCTGCTACAAAGTGAGTTATCCTATTGAAATCGATCAGCTTACTCTTCCCCTATGCGCTTAATTTCTTCAACCTAATAGGCAATAGCTTTCTGCTGAGTAATTTTGAAATCGCAGTTCATGGTTGGAGAATGTAAGGGGGGGGTTTCGCTATGAAGCCGTTAACTGGCTCGGTCCTTACTCGTGAATAATGAATAGACCTTCTTTACAGGTGAATTCCATTGATATCGGCGACATTACCCGGCGTCCGTTGTTGAGCTTAGAGAAAAAGCTTCATGGCAGACACCCGGCTTCCGGTGGAGAATGCCGCCCGTTTCTGCGTACGACCAATGCAAGGCAGCCTTTTTGTCCTGTTGCAGCTACCCCTGCTTCACCCTTGCGGCGGTTATCATGCTTCAGACCCTGTCGAGTAGCGAGCGGGGAATCCGAGGGTGTGGTTCGAGGTGGTGAAAGCCCATCAACGGAGGATGAACAGACCTTGACCCAGGACTTGCAGACTGCGATAGAAGAAGAGGACTACGCACAAGCTGCCAAAATCAGGGACAGCCTTAAGTTGCTACAGGAAGACAGCAAGTCCGCAGTGCTCGCTGCGAATTCCCGGTTCTACAATGCCTTTAGGAAAGGCGATCTAGCTAGCATGCAAGGCCTGTGGTCGAAATGTGAGAATGTGTGTTGCGTTCACCCCGGTGCTAGTGGAGTTCTTGGTTACGATGATGTTATGGAGAGCTGGGAGCTAGTGTGGATGGACTACGATTTCCCGCTAGAGATTGAGCTGAAAAACGTCCGGGTTCATTTCAGAGGAGATATGGGATACGTGACTTGTGTAGAATTCATCAGAACGAAAGGAAGTAGCTGGGGAGCGCAGTTTGTGACCAATGTGTTTGAGAGAGTTGGTGGTTGTTGGTTCATCTGTGTTCACCATGCTTCACCTGTTGACCTCTAATCTTAGCCTCCCTCCCCTCTATCTCAAATAATGTACTACTAGTCTTTAGAAGTAGGATTGAAGTATTGCTGCTTCTTGAATTCTAGTGTCTATTCTTTTGGTAATGTTTATTCATTCCATGGTTTGTACAAAGGACAATGAGTTTGGCCAGACACAAAATGGTAGTGATGTGATCTAGACTCTCCCCACAGGAGAAAGGGGCGGGCACGGGGCAAATTTTGCAGTTGCTGGTTCATTTGCGAAGCTTGCTTGTTCCACGAGATCAGACGCTTTCTGGGAGCGCACGACGCTCACGGAAATGAAGAAGGCTTGAAGCAAAGATATTCGCCGATTGAATTCAACAGAGTACATCCCCTTCTCCACTTGTCCCAGGACGAAGACTGGCTTCTTCTCCTCTTTACCTCCTCCCTACATTCAATGCCAAATGTTAACCCAAAGTTTAATTGGGGAAAAAACTTAACAACCAAGGGTGATTCTGTGAGGCATGAAAGAACCAGAGTGCTTTACTACCTCTGCAAAAAGTTGAAAACCATTAGATGCCACTGGGGCTGTCGCCGATAGGACGCATAGTCCACAGCCGACGTCCCACCCTCCACAATCACATGATCCGCCGGATCTCCATCTTTGGATCAACGGCCAAGGAGCTCCCTTGGCTGGCAAGCCATGTACAGCAGCTGGAAGTATCACTGTCATGCTACTACTGCATTGTTCATCTTCATCCCTCTGCTGCTTCTGCTTTAGGGCAATGTTTCCACTATGTGTTCTCACCACGACAGCTCCAAGCTCTCGACCTGACCTCGACTTGGTTGATGCCTCCCCTTTCTCCAAGCCAAACAGAACATGCTCACTAACAAACTCGTGGCCGGTGAGATTCTCTCCAGTTAAGCCCAGCAGGGGAGAAGAGTTGATATTCATTTGGCCAATCACATTGTACGTGTAGTCACATCCTCGTTTGTTACTACCTGGGTTTAACATCCAGCCACCACTCCTTTTCTTGATTTCCTCAATCGCATAGAATGTGTAGCTGCTGCATCCTGATCTGCTCTTGCTTGGTGACGGGACATTCTTGGTGGCTGCCAGAATGTTGGCTTTGCCATCGGCATTGTCAACCAGCAACTTGAACAGAGGAAGCCCATTTTTAACTGATACCTGCAGAATAGCCTGGGTGTATGACGCCTCATGCACTTCGCTCTGTACAGATTCTAGCTGCCTCCACTCCAAGGGATTGGGGGGAATCTCTTTCGACTTCTCCCGTTCGGATAAACGGGATGAACTCGAAGCCTTGGACTTAAAGAGTGGGTCCAATATTCTTCGTAAGGGGCTTGATCTTGCTCTGCTAGGACCACCATCCTTCTCTGCTTTAGGGATATCCAAGCCAACTGAACTTTGCGATGTCACGGGGCCAGATTTTACAGACTCATAGCCGGAGCTAAACTGTAGTGGTGTAGAACTTTCCTTTAAGCTGAAACTTCTGGTCAACCGACCTAAGTTGAAGGTGAACCGCCTGTTCGGAGAGGGATCCCTGTCTTTTCTAGCGACTCCATCGGCTGCTTCTTCGTTTATAGCATTTTGACTTTCCAAATCATACCCGTTTGTGACCTTTAAGTTTTCCAGAGATGGCGGCTTCGTAATGGGTTTTGCAGAAGATGATCCTGCGCAATGCACATTACATGACTGTTCTCCAACCTTGCAGGGGTTGGTGCCACTGCTAGGGTCGACTCCAGGAGGCAAGGGTGCTCTTTGCTCCTCAGAAAAGCTACTTCCTGCACATTTTCTTGGTATAAGAAGAACAACTTTCTCTCCATTTTCAGATGCGGAAGCCAGAGATGATTCTCGTGATGCTCTTTCCCCTGCTTTGTTTCTCACTTCCCTGTTACCCGACTTCTTGTCCTTTGATAAGAGTGAAACATCACAATTTATGGATTTCAATGATGGAGCTCCAAAGCTGCTGGATGAGATGACCCGATCTCTTTCCACTTTTTTGTCTGAAGTTAGCATTGTTTGATATCTCCTTTCTTCACCATATGCAGAATCAAGTGAGCTAACCAACACTTTCGGAGGGCCTTTCTGATCCAAGTCGCTTCTCTTTACCTTCTCTGTAACTGCTGGATTCATGCTATTCCTCCCAAATGAACTGTAGTTCATGCCGTTTACTTTCTGCCCGATCAAACAGCTCTTGGAAGTTGATTCGAAATCCTGAGATCGACTGAACTTATGCAAAGATGGTTTGAGAGTTTTGGAACTCCCATCAGCCTGATGCATTTTATGACTGGAGTAATGCGAAGAACTTCCACCGGCATCCACACTGAGAAAAGAAGGCGCCCGCACATTTGACATACCACTAGCTGACAATCGACTATTGCCTCCACCATGAGCGACAAGCTTTTGATTCCCCTTATACTTTTCCAAACGACCCCAGTCAAGGACTCCTACATTCAAAGCCTTATCCTGTATGTTCTCCCCTTTATCCATGCGCTGGAGAAAACCAGGCACATTCGACATGTACCTCACAAGCTCCTCACTTTGTGACCTGGCTGTCGTCCTGACGGGCCTCTGTTGGCTCTTCCCCAAGGTTTTTGAATAGATTGATCTCCCATTATTTGCAGATTGAGGGAGTTCATTCCGGACATCACCGGAAGGCTGAAAAACAGAATTTTTCCCCTTTAGCTTCTCATCATGATACTTCACAGTCTGGTTAGCTTGAACTTGGTGGTCGCTTTCTTGGTCAATCTTGGGATTTCGCCGTCCTCTTGGGATTTTGTTCACATCCAGACTCAACTGCACCTCCCTGGAAGGTTTTGAGGGATAACTACTGGGCCGAAAAGCAGGTCGTGTGTTAGCTTTCTCCATACTTTAATGTAACATGGTACCTACAACAGTATGAACAAGGGAAAGTTGAAGGCATCGGAAGCAGCTCCGCAACTCAAATTTCGAAGTACACAAAGCAGCTGAGTCACCTAATGAAGTGTAAACCAGCAAAAAAAAGTTTAACCAATGACGCCCTCCATCGAATTCAGCTTGTACTAGAATACAGATTGCTAATCATTCAATCAACGGGCAAAAAGGAAACGAGAGTCCGTAGCTCCATAGGCTTCTCGTATACAAGCCGACCATCTCCTTTCGCACAAAAAAGCCATATCTTCCCTGCTTTATACTAAAACGAACTTCTGGTCATAAAGAACACGGGAAGATAGCACAAAAAGAGCGTTTGATTAAAGGTCACGCAAACTAGAAAATAATTATGGGCAAACAGTGCTATGATTGGAAAGCATATCTCTCCCAATTGCGCACGAATTGTGGTTCCGTTTCTCGCAGGTCTCTATAAGAGGTTAAAAGGCTTAACTATCCCTTTCCCAACAACTCGAGTTATTGGGGCCAAGTGGTTAGTTCGCTAACATGGTATCAGAGCCTAGAACCGAAAGGTCATGGTTTCGAATCCTCATGACGACCCCCAATTTAAGCAAACAATGGTTTAGTACAAGGACTGGTATGTCCAACCTGTACAAACTGAAAGCCTAATGGGTTTGGCAGCACAAGGAATGATACGTTCAACCTGTGCAAACCGTATAAAAAAAAAACCCCCGACAAAGGTAGGCTTTCGTTTGAGGGGGCGTATAAGAGGTTAAAAGGCTTAACTATCCCTTTCCCAACAACTCGAGTTATTGGGGCCAAGTGGTTAGTTCGCTAACAGTCTCACCATATCCCAGGTTCGGAACACAATTTACGCCCCTAGATAGATCTAAACAGAGCTAATCCACCGAGCGAGGCAAAAATTAGGTGAAGTGATTCTGTTTGGGCGCCAAGAAAATAGGTGACAAGGAAATCGTCAAGCGGATGAATGCGCTCTGAGTTTCCAGTAAACTTCGATTCGCAAATAATGTAGGCTAAGTTTTGAAGCTCGTCTTCAACAATTTCATCGCCATTTTGCACAATCCGTTTATTTTCTCGATAACCAAACACGAGCAAAGAAAATACGCCGAGAGAGAGAGAGAGAGAGAGAGAGAGAGAGAGAGAGAGAGAACGTACCGACGGGAAACCGTGGAGAATGAGAAGGCGGTGGCTCACGTAATGGAAGGTCGCTTTGATTCGGGGGGAAGGAAGAGAGCGGATCCCGATGAAGATCCGGCAGCGTACAGGAGAGGAATGCAAGTCCGTTTTGCAGCAAATTGCAGCTTACAAGCAAAGTAAAGAATTCACTGCCGCTACAGAAAACAAGAGAGAAAGGAAGTAAGAAACAAGAGAGCAAAGTAAACAAATCAGTTTTGCTCTATCCACGATATCGTCGGAGCCGCAACAAATGGCACTCGATTCTTCTCTGTAACAGAAACCACAGATTTCCCGTCCCCGGTGGCCCCGTCGCTTCAGAGACCACAGAAAAAGAAAGAGAGAGAGAGAGAGAGAGAGAGGGAAAAAGAAAAAGAAAAGGGGGAAATGTAACGCACAAAATGAGAGAGCACGTAGGAAGGAAGGATTTCTCAACCTCAGAGAAAGAACTGAGCTCGGGGCTGCTCTCAGTCTCAGCGCAGAGCTGCCAATCCGAGTGAGAGAAAGGGACAGAGGTGAGCGAGATTAAGCGTTTCGATTTCAATCGGACGGCCCAGAGAGAGGCGATGGGGAGGGACGGAGAGAGAGCCTATTGGCTCTATTGCCCTTGCTATTGGGTCCCACAGATGCGACTTCTGCCTTTCTTTCGTTAGCGAATCCCGAAACCGCAGGATGTGGGGCCCATTATTTTGACGTCATTATATTCCCTCCCCCGCGCTTTCTTCTCTTTGTCTGGACATGTTATCAATCCTGGGAATTGGGCTGGGCCTATGTCTGAGAACTCCAGAAAACAAAAAACAAACTAGAAAACCAATTTTAGTTCTTTATTGATTTCGGATTAAGGGTGGACATGCCATTTGATAAACACAACCGAATTAGTGATTTATAAGGCCGAATTTGGTTATGACATGGCTGACATTCATAGCTCATTTTGAATTGAACCGACCCCAATGACCGAATTCTTAACCAAACTGTAGTTGTAGCAAGCGAGGGAAAAAATCTAAAACTACCACTATAAAAAAAATTACAAAAATCCCATCCATACTCAACAATTTCCAAAAATACCACCCTTCCATACAAAACGCGCCTCGAAGCCGCGGTTCACATCCAAACCGCGCGTTCAAGAGGCGGTTTGACCCTTCCTATCTGTCAAACCGTTGCCCCGAGGCGCGGTTTGTGCGTTGGGGAACGTAAACCGCGCGCTGGAGGTGCGGTTTTAAGTGGGGTAAGAAGACGAAACCGCCCCTCCAACACGCGGTTTCGTCCCTATATAAACCCCACCCTCCTCCCATTTTCTACACACCAAACCCACATTCCCCCTCTCTCTCTAACTCCTCACTCTGCCCACCCCCTCCTCACCCAAACACCTTAGAATTAGTTGTTTTGTTGGTTGCGGCTAAGTCCGATCTGCCTTCAAAAAACTTTTCCTTTGGTTTTCACTAAAAAATCATCGAATCTCTATCCGGATTCTGAAAAAATGGCCGATTTTATCCAAAAGGAGGGTATTTGCTATGATGATTATCAAGCGATACGTACTCATTTTACTCAATTGTTGTTGTTGTTGTTGTTGTTATAATGATTTATTTAATTTATGTACTAATTGATTTATGTTGTTGTTATGCTATCGTAGGTTGGGCCGGATGTTGATATATACAATCAACGATATTATGTTGATCAAGGACCGATTGATCCGACTATTTTATACGATCAAGCCAATCATCGTTCAAGAGACGTTTGGAACGACCACAAGGTACATATTATTTATCATCACTTGTAATTTGTATTTTGTTAAAGTAATTTATTTGTTTGTACAATAATTTACTTAATTGTTAATCGTATTGATTATTTTCAATAATTTAAATCAATACAATACAACACTTATTTAGACTCTTTATAAAGAAATGTATGTCTAAGAAAATGAGGTCTTAAGCGATCATCATGATCCCCCCATGACCTGGAAAAATCGGGTTCTAAGCGATCCTCGGATCCCCTCTTTTTCTATCAAAAAGACTGTGTTTCTTTTTTTTTTTTTGGTTTCTCCAGCTTTCTAAAAGACTGTGTTTCTAAGAAGATGTATACCTCTCCTAAGAGTCTTACGAGTGTACTTGTATTGCTTTAAATTATTGAAAATAATCAATACGATTAACAAAATAATATATTTGATTTTATGTGTATGTGTACAAAAAATTATTGTACTTAAATTTTGAAAGTTATTTTAGTTATGTTAAAATTAATGTTTATTAGATAATGTATATTTCTATAAAACAACCTTGATTTAATTAATATTGCATCTTATAATATATTTATATATGTATAAATCATCAACTTATAGCGAAAGTTAAATTCTTCTCTAGGATGTCCCCCACATGCCTCCGCCGGCCCATAGAAGGCCAAACAAGGCTACAAGGGATCGACCTCACGTGCCGGAGATCAAGCCGATTGAGGCGTGGAAGGTGCCTACTCCATTGGAGGTGTGCAGCGGTGCAGGGTCGAGTACTCAGTATGATCCCCGGTCGAGTTTTCTCTACGATCCCCGACCAAGTGCTTTCTACGACCCCAGTACTCAACATGATCCTCGCCCTAGTTTCCACTACGATCCCACGCCCGGTAGCCACTATGATCCCCGGTCAAGTTTCCAATACAATCTCCGCCCCAGTTTCCAGTATGATCCCCGACCAAGTACATTTCATGACGCCACATCCTCAGCTACTTGGGCCGATGGTTCATACTCAAGTCCCGCCAAGACTTCTTACATTTGCATCGACCACAACAACAATGGTAGTCCACTCCCCACCGTATGAGCGTGGATAGTCCTCGACCGCACACGAAGGGGCCACCTACCACGGCACCGCGGCGGCATAGCACGGACCAGTGCCCTTCTACGGTGAATAGGAATCTGCCACCACTTCCAACCCCTATTACACCCGGTGGACCAGTCGCCCTCGCACAAGGAAACAGAGGGCAAATCTTCGAAATAATGCATGAGTGTGACAAGTTTTGTTTATTTCAAGTTATGTTTTGTTTAAATTAAGTTGAACAATTTGTTTTTATTTGAAGTTATTTGTTACTTCATCATGTAGTGTGTTTGTGTTCGTGATGTGTTTATTCAAAAAGATGGAACATTGCATCGAAGTGTGTTAATTTTGCAAATCTTCAATGTCATTTAAGCACACAAAATACAAGTACGTAACCATTGAAATTAATACACTTTGTGAAAATGCATGAAATCAATCTATGCGCCATTATCCGGGTTCACCACATCGGGCCCTGGATTTTGAGGACCAATTGGTCTGGGAAATTTTCGTTTATCATGCCCTGGTACTTTGGATATGGAACACCGCCTTGGCCCTCGCGGTGGTCTTCCACTTTGATCCATCTCATTTGGAATCCTTTTTACCCGCGGGCGCCCTGTTTCCCGCCTAAGACCGATTGGTGGAATGATGACCTTACCCTCATAAACTGGCCAGTAAGCTTCATCCGGCAATGCACGGAAACTCGTACGATAATTGCTCTTTTGTGAGTCTATGTTGAAGAACGGACTGACAAAATGACAAGGGTCTTTGCTCTTGTGCTTTATTACAGCCATTGCATGGGAACAAGGTATACCTCTACCCTGATACTTTTGACAAGAGCACTCCCTTTTTTAGTCCTAAAGTTGACGATGACTTCATGGCGATGACCCCCACGTCTCCCATCCTCCCAGTGTCCAGTCTCGACCGAATACTCACCAGCATTTCGGTTTATAACATTGACTTTGTGAGGAGAGCTCTTCCGATTATCTTTTTCCATTATTTTTGTGGCATGATCGAAGTGTACCTTACCATGTGCCTCCCTCTTCTCACACCAGTGGAGACGGTTGACGAACCATCCGTTTGTTTTCCAGAATGTCATCTCAACAATTGTAGAGATGGGGAGTGCACGACATTCCCTGTAGACGTTGTTGATACTCTCGCTTGAGTTCGTTGTGGCAATACCCCATCTGGTACCTCCGTCCTTATGAAACGTCCACATTGCAAGGTCATGTTGATCAAGCCACTGCGCACCTTCAGGGCATAGCTGACGGATATTCTGCATCTTCTCTTTAAATTTCTTCTCTTGGTAAGCGACAGCTGATGAATATCAAACAAAAGCGTAAGGTAAGCAAGACCGACCTTACCCTCAATACTAGTACACTCGTAAGACTCTTATGAGAGGTATACATCTCCTTAGAAACACAGCATGTTTGACAGAAAAAGGGGGGATCCGAGGATCGTTTAGAACCCGATTTTCCCAGGAAATGGGAGGATCATGATGATCGCTTAAAACCCCATTTCCTTAGGCATGCATTACTTTGTAAAGAGTCTAAATAACTGTTGTATTGTATTGATTTAGTCCTCGTTTTATCCAGTTGCCTCCAGCTCAAGTCTTGGTACTCCTGGTGGGGATGATCTTCGTATAATACACTCCCACCGTGGATACCAGATGTTTGGACATCTCTAGAATGACCTACACCGCCTTCGACGGCCTCGTTGTAAACGAACATCTCCGCTTGCTTAATTTTATTGGTGGTAAAAAATTGGACCATGGCATCAACGTCCTCCTGAGTGGTAAGGAGGAATTCCTCATTCCACAGCGACTCGTCATGTCTGTTTGGATATCGATACACCATTTGATCAACTCTTCTAGTGCCATCCATGCAGGTAATCTGAGTGCACATTTGATGGAGCTCTTCAAGCATCGGTCTCGTACGGACCTTCATTTTATAAAAATTGCCGCCGACGTAACTTACACCCTTTTCGGACTCTTCCGTGTAACCATTCAACCGCAGCCCAAGCGTGAACCTTTGGAATGCTATCTGCAATAAAACTGTAATTAAGTTACTAAAATAAAATCACAAAGGATAATGAAAAGTAATACAAAATAAACTTACGAATTAACGTTAATCGCAAAAACTAAATAATTTAAAGGTACACAACTGAAATTTGAAGAAGAAGGAGGAAGAGTGAAGATTTTGAGTTCTCTGGAACAACCTTTTATAGGCGAATTTTACAGTACAAACCGCCGGGGGAGGGGGGGGGGAGCGGTTTTAGGTCTGCCATGCAGCCCACCCCCTGCATGCCGACATGTTGAATGTCGGGTGACCAGGCACAAACCGCAGCTGGGGGCAGCGGTTTACTTTGCACAAACCGCCAGTGGGGGAAGCGGTTTATGTCTCCACATGGTAAACCGCGGCCTGGTGGTGCGGTTTACCAAGCCGACATATAAACGCTCCCTGACGAAGCGTTTTGTTGTAGGATAGCCATATAAACCGAGCCTTCGAAGAGCGGTTTTACCTGAAAAGGAAAACTGCCTGTTGACCAGGCGTTTCTAATGTAAACCCCAGTCTGATGGTGCGGTTTATATATTAACCGCCCCTTAGAGGCGCGGTTTTTAATAAACGGTGGTATTTTTGGAAATTGTTGGGAATGTGTGATATTTTTGTAATTTTTTTTAATAGTGGTAGTTTTGGATTTTTTCCGCAATCGAGCCCCAACCATCTTCTGGCAACCCAACCCATCCCTAATACAAGCCAACCCTCTCCTAGCTAGACAACCCACTACCCAGCCCATACCAACCTAGTTTTAGAATCCCTTCCATAGCGAATCCGTTCTTCCTCTACTCTCAAACGTTGCTAGCAGCCCTAAAACGAAATATCCCTACCCTAATGCGTCATAGATAGTCTTTTCATCTCCATCAGCCTCCCTAAACACCAGAGAGGCAGAGGCCAACAACTCCATCGTTAGTTGGTTGTCCTCTCGTCTCCATCAACCGCCATCCCACCACACATCCATCCTCCATCACTTCAACTCTCTCCATCTCCATGAGTCACGAGACCCGACACAAATAATGAGAGCATAAAGCAACCGCAAATGCAGCTTTCTTATCAAACTCTCCCGTCTTCATCTCAAAACATCCATACTCCCTCAGTCCGGAAATGATAAATGATAGTTGTTTTCATCCATCCTCCCTTCAACCGCCCACAAGAAAATGGTCCAGTCTTGAGAGCACATCCCACTAGCTCAAAACAATTTGGTTTGTTCAAATAACCCAAACCAAACCGGCTTTAATTTGGTTTCATCATGGCCAAACTAATCTCTAGTTTGTTGACTTTGGGTGCTCTTTTGTGGCTTGTGAAGCTTAGTTTTATTTTATTTCGATTTGGTTTCCACCAAACTCAGCGAACATACACTCAAAAGAACTAATAATCACAAGTGTAATTCATAGTTTTATCAAATTTTAATTTAGCCAACTTCAATTATATTCCTGTAGACTGGGCTATGGCTTTGTAGTGTTCACGGTTGCTAGCTGGATCAAAATTACAACTGAAAAGTGAAAAAGGAAAAAAATAGCCATTCACATTTTACTGGAACAAACCTTTTCATGGGACCAATAAACGAATGGGGGAGGTGTGTATAATGGAGCGTTTGGATAGAGCATTGCGATCCTCGCGATGGATTGAAGTCTTCCCTGATTTGCTGGTGAAGCATGGTACAAACAAAAGCTCATCATCGGGATACCATTATCGTTGATAAACCGTTTATTCCGAACTATCGATCGCTTTTCGAATTTGATGCTCGTTGGGCAACAGATCTGGATGTGCGGTTAATGGTCTAATATGTTTGGGACCAAGAGATTCGGGGTTATCCAATGTATAGGCTGTGATCAAAAATTGAGATAATAAAGCAAACTATTCCTATTGATTGGGAGAAGATTCGAGAAATGGAGGAGGACTGACCCGCTAAAACACAACACCAAACTACGACCATGTGTAATCGTAGAATGCAAATGTAGTATAATGAGACAAGTAATAAAAGTCAACCCGGGGCCTAGATGTACTGCCTACTCCGTGATTATCTATTATCTAGCGGGAAAGATTGAGTAAAGTGTTCATAGCAAATTAAACAGAAAGTAGTAAATGTTCTGGTTTTCAATGTCAAGAACGAACCACTCAGGTAATGATTCCCCCTAGTATGTAGTTAACTCGAGTTGTAATTCACCAAGTCCAATTCCATTCAGATTTATATTGCGGAAGATCCGGACCTAGCTTGGAATCTCTTAAACTGACCAAGCCCTCTCAGTCATGTTACCCGACAGGCGACTAACCTTCACCGAGATAAAGTGCTAAGGCAATAAAAACAGATCTCCTCTACTGGAATGAAACCTAGTACAGAGCAATGAATCGATTGACTCTCGCACAATCGATTCACCACTTCCAAATCAGGATGCTCTATAGACCTATTCAGTTTTTATCGTCCTAGGCCAAAGCTGGAAATATACAAGTGTGATCAAGACTCATAGATTTCTGTATAAAACCTTAATTGGATATCCAATCATCAATGTATTGAAAAAGGGTTCATACAACTGCTCCTAACATGCAAAACTAGCGTTCTTCATACCCAAGTGGTAGAGAGTATTACTCCATAGAGAGAAAGAGAGAGAGGAAAGCCATGCTAGATGTAGAAATAATCGTGTAGATGGAAGAAATCTGCTCCGGGTCTTCAATCGTCAGTCCTCGAGGTTTGAATCGAGCTACAATGATTCAAAAACTTGATTTAGGGCACTCAAAGACCTTTGTTCGTCACTTTTTTCTCTCTAAACCTCTGTTTTCTGCTCCAAAACTCGAATGAGAGATCAAAACCCGCATTCTGCTTGTAACAGCCCGAGCTGGGCAAAACTCAGTCCAAATACCTGGTCGGGTATTCTTGAATCAGACCGGGTATTCTTTCAAAGCGGCTCGTAGCAACTTATCGGTGAAACGGAAATACCCGATCTCAGGTAAAAATACCTGATCGAGCATTTATGGTTCACGACCGGGGGGGCCTACTAGGTTCTCCTTGGGCATTTACCCGGTCTTGCCTGCATTTCCCTGGTCGGGTATTTGGGTGGCCTGACCGGGTATTTTGCCTTCTAGCTCCACATCTCGCCATCTCTCCGCTTTTGACCAGAAACTCGCTTCCAATCCTCCATTTCCGCTCCAGGGCCTGAAATACGACATAAAAGCACAACCTAGCGTGAAATCGGCTTATAATACGATAATCAACTCTTAAACGGTGCAAGAATAGTGGGCAAAATATGTGCAAATATCAGTTTATCAAATTCCCCACACTTAACTGTTTGCTTGTCCCCAAGCAAACTTAACTCAAACCAATGCAACTCTCCAGACCTTTACAACAACATGCAATCCTGATCGTTGATAGAGGAATTCCTAGGTCATTTAGCAGCTTACGAGGTCAACCAGTCTTCTAAGACATTCCCTATTTCTCTCAATTCGAGTACTACTATCTAGCCAGAATCAGGCGAAGTAGTAGACCTAGGATAGACAATTCATGGATAAAGAGACTCACACAACACAATAATCAAGGACTCTTCGTATCGGGTGCTCTTTCCATTTCATTTCATTCGTTGGAATCCCTTTTCCTTACTGTTCATTTTTTCCCTTTTTTTTCTTCGCACACATTTTGCTAGGGTTGCACACTGCAATTTTTACGTGCACTCGACCCTTATTGGTTGAGCAAGATCCATTTTTGTACATCTGTCGCTCGCCAGAGTACTTCTTTTAAATATTTTTCCTCAATTCGCGTGGAGGGTCAATGAAATTAAGGGGGGGTCAGAAGCTTTATCTGTGTCCTTAAAAACACATCCTCGAGTATGCAAACATACACTATTTTTCCTCAATTCGCGTGGAGGGTCAATGAAATTTAACGATACCTGATTCGGGCCCAAATATACACATTTTACCCCTCATTTCTTATTCCTTTAGCTTAGTATTTCATCGTTCCTCGACATATTTCACGCTAGGTTCCTGTAACAGTGAATTGAAGGCGTCCAGGAAACAGCCGCAGTTCACGGTCGGGCAAGGCAGTTTACAGTCTCCTAAGACCGTGAACATGGACCACAAACTGTGAACATTGAGCAGTCCAGCAAGGTTTCAGAGGTTAGTGACGCCAAGGGAGTTCACGGTCTCTAAGACCGTGAACTGGGGACATTGACCTTGAACCCAGGAGAGTGAAGCGGTGCGTTTTGGACGACACTGAGTTCACGGATGCGTTTAGGTTTTCACGACCGTGAACTGGCCAACGCGTCCGTGAACTGGTTACTTTTGGGCAAATATGAAGACAACAACAGGGAGAGAGAAAAGGAGAGCTGGTTTTTTGGAAAAAAATTCAATTCACTCTCTAGGGTTTGCCCAAAACACCAAAGGGGAGTTCTAGTGAGAGAGGGAGTGATCTTGGAGCTTAATTGAAAGCATTGATCAAGCTTAGAAGCTAGGAATCAAGCTTAGAAGAAGAAGAGGAAGAAGATCTATAGGTTTATTTGTAATCTCCCCTCTTTCTCTCTAGAAACTCACTCTTTTCTGTTGGGTGTTGTAGATCCCCAACTAATACTTTGTAATTACTTGTTTAGATTGAATGATTTCGTATGGGTTTGCATCATTTTGAGTGTTAGAGGTGTTTTCATGGTGATTGTGCTTAGTTGTTCTTTCCAAATCTTGTGTGCTTGCCTAACCTAGATTAGAGGAAAACCACACCTTTTTAGGCAGGCTTGACAAACTTGGTTTTCTTGGGCACTTTGTGCCTACTATCTAGGTTAGAGATGAGCATCCCCTTGACTCAAGTTTGCATCTAGGTTGGTTGTGATTAACCCGCTCAAACTCCGGTTTGAGGGAGAGACCTAGGCAACCACTAGATACGGAGTGAGAGGATCGATCCCGTGACAAATCGATGTCTAGTGAATCCATCCTGTGATAAATGGATCACTAGTTGATCCTCCTAGTGGTTCCCCTAGACTTGGTGAGTGGATCGATCCCGTGACAAATTGAACGCTAGTGGATTGATTCCGTGACAAATCGACCACTAGTTGCTCACCCCCGTGGTTCACAACCACCTACGCCACACGACTCCATTCAATCCAACGAGTCGTGGTAGCTAGTTAGGGGGAAGCAACTCCTGGGTGAAGCTCCCCTAGTTAGAATTTTCCTTTATTTACTTTTCTTTGTAGTTTCATTTGTAGTTTTCTTAGTTTAAAAACTCAAAACCGTTTTTCTATATAACAACTTAAGCGATTGAAGTAGGGGTACATGGATCGGCCCGGGTTGACAATTTAAATACTTGCTCTATACTGCACCCGACTAGAGTTTAAAAGCTTGGGCTCTAGTGGGGATTAATTTGTGGTGTTGTTTCGTGCGAGTCAATACCACATGAATTGAAGGTCTTAAAGCCACTAGTTCACACGATCATCCGACACAACAAAGAGAAAGATAGAAAAGATCTTATACTTCAACATCGTCCATAGTGCTACAACTACCTCCCTAGGTTTCATAGTACTATAAATACTTTCAATTAAAAACATATTGAGCATGCAATTGTAAGGAACACGTACTTGGAGCCCTAAAAATCAAAATTTTGACAGTGCACTAGGCTCCAAGCACACAAACACATCTAAGCAGTTAAATATAAGCACCCCCACACTTAAGTTTGACATTGCCCTCAATGGAGAAGAGAGAAGGATAAAGGGAACGATGTTTCCGTGAAAAAACAGACTGGATCAGGACTGGAGAGGGAACCAATCAGGGTGGAGGACTGGAAGTGGGACCAGTCGTGGAAAGAACACAGGCTAAGACAAAAGAAACCATACACAAATAGTCAACCCAATGGCACAATATCCAAAAGAAAAACAAACCAAACACAAATAATCCAGTCTGCACTCCTCCCAAAAAAAAACACTCAACACAACGAGAAAACCAGAGAGGTGGAGCCAACGAGCACAACCTACTCGAGATGGTCAAAGTTGATGTTGTTCATAATGTCATCAATATCCTCGGACAGAGGAGGTGGTGGGATGGGTGAATCACCCACAGAGTTGTCCAATGGTGCTCCGAGTGGCAGGACTGGAGCAGGTGCTCCTGGTACTCCATCATCCGATGGTTGCAGACACGCTCACGCTCGATATGAGCGAGGGTGTCACACTACTGAGTCTCGATGCGGTCGAGATGATCTTCATAAGTAGCCATGTGAGCAGCGTACTCAGCCTGATGGACCGCGTACTACTACTGGAACTAACGTTGTGATCCATGAGGTGCTGATTCTATAGACCCAGCTGCTGAAACTAGAGACCCATATGCTAAAACTGGTCAGTGAAGAAGTCCATCATGGAACAGAAGGACCATAGAAGCACTCGCCTCACTCGGGTCTCCATCATGGAGGAAGATCCCCAGGCGGGGATAGCGGAGGCTCCATCTCGTCCGCATCTATAACCCCACCACCACCACCACCACCATAATCATCATCATCATCACCGTCCTCGTCTTCATCCTCCTCATCATCATAGTCATCATCATCCTCCTCGTCCTCACCATTAGTAGAGGGAAAGGAGAGACCATCGACCCACTCCCTACCATCGGCAGAGGCCAACCGCAAAGCGTTATGAAGCAGGTCCCTGCTTATAGGCTGAGAGCCATACTAAATCGTGGAGTAGGTCAAGCCTCGAAAGTCCACCTCGAAATGCGCGCCAAGCGGGTGATCAGAGGGCCAAAAAAGAGGTAGAAGGGCTTCTCGTGGCAATTGGCGAAGGTCCTCGACAAAAGAGACCCCATATGCAGCGAATGGTCTAGCTCCCCCAT